CACAAGGGAGGGTGACTTGTCCGATGTCACATGGCCAGCAAGCAGCAGCCCCCACAGTAGATGCTCAATAAATGTCTCCTGCATGGCTGGAAGGGTCCTGCCTTCTGGATGCAGATGCCGCTGGGAAGCCTGGCTGTACAGATAGGGCAGGACTTTCCCCTCAACAAATGGGGAGTGTCTCTGATGGTCAGTTTGTGACCTGCACCCCCACTCCCCGCATCAGGGCTTGCATGGGTCAGCCATCACTGCCATAACAAATACCACGCACACACTCAGTAGCTTAGGACAGCACTGATTCATTATCTTATACTTCTAGAGGTCAAAAGTCCAAAATGGGTCTCACTGAGTTAAAAAATGTCTACATCTCAATCCCCAGGACCCGCAAATATATTACTAACATGGCTAAAGGAACTTTGCAGGTGTGATTAAGTTAAAGACCTTAAAATTCAGAGATTATTCTGAATTATCTGGGGGGCTCAACGTCATCACAAGGGTCCTTATAAGAGGGAGGCAGGGGCCTCGTAGGAGGAGATGCGAGGACAGAGGCAGAGGAGGTGGAATGCAACCACGAGCCAAGGGCGGCAGGGAACCCCTACGTGCTGGGAACAGATTCGCCCCCAGAGCCTCCAGCAGGACTCAGCCTGGGCAACACAGTGATTTTAACCCCTTAAGGTCCATTTGGGCTCTGGCCTCCAGAACCACAAGTAACGAACGTGTTGTTTTGAGCCACACTGTTTGTGGGTTTTGTTACAGCCGTGCTGGGAGACATACATGTTCACTGTGGCCCGACCCTTATCAGAAGCCATGGCACATGGCAGTCCATCAGAAAAATCAAGGATGAACTGGCTCAGGCGTTCCTGTATCCCAGACCTCCAGGATACTGGAAAGAGAAGGAGGCTGGGCTACCGTCCCTGGAGAGCTGAGCTCCTGTGTACACAAAAGGGAGGGACCCTGGGGGCAGGAAGGCAGGGCATTAAGCTCAAAGGTGACTGGACTTTACCAAGCCCTGGGGAAGGACTCAGTGAATGCCCTGGGGTGGGGCTGACCAGCCAGGGTCCTGTGGCTAAAGCCACGGGTCCTGGGGCCCAGGCAGAGTGACAGTATTGAGGGAAGACCCAGAGGCTGTGGCAAGGGCACTGGACTAGGAGTCCCACCCGAGCAGGGCCCTGCCATCCACTGGCCGTGAGCGGTCAGACAAATCTCTGCACCTCTCTGAGTCTCAGTTCCTCTTCGAGTTATGTGGGGCTTGTACTAGATCAGTGCCTCTCAATTTTTCTCTTCAAAAACTTATTTAACAACAGGCTCCTTTCTTCAAATAAAACCCTTGTTGTATGATGTGGACAGAAGTTAAGGTGATGATCTTAATAACAGCAAGCACTTAAGTGGGACCTGCTTTGCCCCAGTCTCTCTTCTCAGCACCTTACATATGAAAATGGATTTGTTTGACAGTCAACAACAAATCAGTAGGTGGGCGCTAGCATCTTCATTTCACAGATGAGGGAAGCGAGGTACAGAGAGGTTAAGGAATTTGCTCAAGGTCACCCAGCCGGGAAGCGGTAAATTCTTGATTTGAAAACACGCACTCCAAACCCCAAGAGAACTGAGAGGCCCAGGTCTGGTGGGGGGACATTTAGTCAGAGGTTAAGGTAATAAAGAGCTAGGGGAGGCAGAGAGAGGGAGAGCAGCATGAGTTGGAAGAAGCATTTTGGAGTCCAGCCCTTGAGACGTTGGACCAGCTTTAGGAGCTGAGAGAACTGGGGGGTCAGGGGAAGACGGAAGAGTGTCATCCTCACCAAGGGGCCCCTGGGTCTCTCTG